GAGAGAGAGAGAGAGAGAGAGAGAAAGAGAGAGAATTTTTTTTAATATTTATTTTTTCGGTGGACACAACATCTTTATTTTATTTTTATGTGGTGCTGAGGATCAACCCAGCGCCCTGCGCATGTCAGGAGAGCGTGTTACCTCTTGAGCCACATCCCCAGCCCTTATCTTAATTTAAAAAAAAATAAACTTTTTTTAGTTGTAGATGGACACAATAATCTTTGTTTACTAATTTATTTTTATGTGGCGCTGAGGATCGAACCCAATGCCTCACGTGTGCTAGGCAAGTGCTCTATCACTGAGCTACAGATCAAGCCCTTATTTTAAAAATTTGAGACAGGGTCTTGCTAAGTTGCTTAGGGCCTTGCTGAATTGCTGAGGATGGCTTTGAACTTGCGATTCTCCAGCCTTTGCCTCCCGGGTGGTTGCGATTACCCGCGTGTGCCACTATGCATGGTGATTCTGCACATTTTCTTAAGAAAGTGATACTATTATGTATAACTGGCCTTGTACTGAAATACTTACCTACAGAAGTCACCAATACCTTCCTTTGTCTGTACAATATTTTTTTCCTGATTTGTAATATTTTGAATTCACAACAGAATCCAGAAGGTTTGGAGATGCTCTTAATGGATGAGAGTTTGAAACTGAAGATGTTCTACTTCTACCAGATTTGGTGTCATTTATATCTGCTAAAATTATATCTTAGGGTCTGGGGGATATAGCTCAGTTGGTAGAGTGCTTGCCTTGCAAGTACAAGGCCCTAGGTTCAATCCCCAGCATCACCACCAAAAAAAAAAAAAAAAAAAAAAAAAAGCATCTTAGTAGATGTTGATCAGCCCCATTCTAAAGAAATTGGCATAAGTACAAATTAAATCTCAGCTAAATCTTGGATTCCTATAACCTTATAGTATGTCTTTTCAAGTCTGTTCAGAGAAGGGTTGATGGTGAAATGACAGCTTTAAGTTGCCACTGCCACCCACCTCGGCCCTTTTTTTTTTGTACTGAGGATTGAACTCAGGGGTACTCTACTACTGAGCACATCCCCAGCCATGATCACCATTTATCATCATCATTTTTGAGACATCAAGGATCTTTTCGAGGATCTTGATAAGTTGCCCAAAGTTGGCCTCAAACTTGTGATCCTCTTGCTTCAGTCTCTCCAGTCGTTGGGATTACCGGCTTGCACCGTTGCTCTGGGTTGAGTTGACTTCTTTGGTAATAGGTTTTTGTTAATTACCACAGCAAGAACGACCGAAAACCCTAAGAAGCAATCTTCTTTATATTGTGTTGATTTTGCTATAGTCAACATTATTTACAAAATTGGCAGGTTCTGATCAGTTATTGTGGTTTCCAACGAATGTACATCTATTAAGATCAACTCCTAAGATCAATTATTCATTCATTCGTTTATCCAGCGAATTCAACAAATATCGACTGCCCATTTTGAGTCACCGTGCTGGCTGCTGGGTGAACAATGGTGTTCTACAGTTTTGGCTTTTACAGTGTTTTACCCTCTAGTTGAAGGGAAGGGAAAACATGCAAACAAGTTACATGCAGGGTTCTATGAAGAAAATGAAACAGCATGGGGAGAAGTAAACTTTGGAAACAATGAGAAGTTCAGCCCGGCAACTCAGGAACTGCGCATCTTGAACAGGTCATTTCAGATCCATAAATGTGAGAATGAGCTGCCCAAGGCCATACTGTAGAATGGCTCCAGTATCTGGCAAAGGGTCACAACAAGTCATTTGTGTGAAGGCAGAAGAGACTGCSAGTGACCACACTGGAGAAAAAAGGAGGTGTCTTTGCGCCTCTTGGCTCCCAAGAGGAAGATCAGGAACTGGCCTTTAGTGCCTCTTCGGCCCGAGGCAGAACGTGCGTGGAAGCTGGCGGGAAACACCCAGGGATGCGGCTTCGGTCCATGCCCCGCGCACGGGTCTGGGAGGTTTTAGCCCCGCGCCACGTCATCGAGCCGCTCCCCCTCCCCTCACCTCGAGTCGCACGCGCGGAAGTAAACACCTCTACGTCATCAAGCCGCGTCTTCGCCTTTCCCCTCCCATCTCCCCAGATCAGTGGACGTACTCACCTCCGCTCCGGGCCAGGTCTATGTCCCGGTTTCCCGCCGTCGCGGGCAGGGCGCCAAGGCGGCTGGAGGAGGGTGAGCGGTCAAGAGAGCTCCAGGAAGAGCGGCCCTCTGCTGTTTCCATCGTTGATAGAGGTGCGGTCCGCGGGACGCTACGGAAACCAGCGGGAGTTATGGCACGGGGGTTTGGGGGGATAAAAGTCTGTTTTTGGCAGTAGAGAAGAGCAGGGGAGGAAGCCGGGGCGTTCTCCTGGTCCTGCAAGCCGGAGGCGAACTTTGCGTCCAGTGAGCACTTTGGCTTAGAGGGGGGCGGTCCCATACCCAAGTTGGGTGAAAACCTCGCTGGGGACAAAAAAGTGAACCCCAAAGCCGAAAAACGTTCTTCTGTTAAACAGGCTCATAAAGCCTTTGTTCTCTACCCATTCATCCTCCCCCACCCCCTTCGTCGGGCCGCCAGCCTGCCTTTGGGTACGGTATGAAGGGAGCCAGTTTCCAGGAGCCAGTTTCCATGGTTACCCACCACTTGGCCTTCTGGGATATCAGTCACTCTGAACAGGGACCTAACTTGAACCATGAATCAGAAGCAAACACAGGTGGCTTCTAATTCAGCTGAGAGTTTTCTGCCGTGTTCCAGTTTTTGGTCTATTGTTTAATAAAATTGGATTTTGTGCGTCTGTGTAGGTATGCATGAACCTACGTTGCCTTGTGCTAGACCTACTTTGTCAAGTACTTTGAGTTAAGCCTTAACCACTGCTGAAGATGTTAGATTTTACTAAAAAGTTATTCCGGGCTTATAAAGCTTCACTTACGAATTGTACACAGTTGATTTAACTGAAAAGTCTTGAATCGATCCCTTCCAGTTCTAGAATTCTATTGCCTTTTTTGTTTTCAATTCTGAGATATCATCAGAAGTATCTTTAAATTGCACAATTGTTTTCCTATCGTTCCAGAAGAGAAAGGATGCACATCACAAGAGGGAGGAACTACTCCAACTTTTCCTATTCAGAAACAAAGAAAAAAACTTATTCAAGCAGTGAGGGACAATTCATTCCTTATTGTTACTGGAAATACAGGAAGTGGTAAAACAACTCAACTCCCAAAATATCTATATGAAGCAGGTAATTTTATTGGAAGTATTTTAAAAATTGCCTCTTTGGGGCAAATAGGACTTCTGTTTCACGTAAATGCCCACTGCTTGTTTTACAGTCCTATTTCTCTTGGCATGCTTTCCCTGGGTCTTCTTTATGCTTATTTCAGACTCAGTAATTAGTTCGGATGATAAATTTTTTCATTTTTAACATAATATTATAGTGGAATGACAGGTAGATAGAAATTTTCTTCTATAGAAGAAGATTGTCTTTTTTTTTTTTTAAAGAGAGAGTGAGAGAGAGAGAGAGAGAGAATTTTTTTTTTTTTAATATTTATTTTTTAGTTCTCGGTGGACACAACATCTTTGTTGGTATGTGGTGCTGAGGATCGAACCCGGGCCGCACGCATGCCAGGCGAGCGCACTACTGCTTGAGCCACATCCCCAGCCCGAAGATTGTCTTATAATAAGCTGTTAACTGTTGTTTTTGAGGGCAAAGGAATATTGACATCTGTTGCTGACATTAGTGTTTCTTCAGAGCATAATCAAGTAAATACTTATTCCCTGACTCAGCTGACACCTAGCCAACTAACAAATTACCCATAAAATGTCTTTCTTTTCAGTATGGAAAAAACTTTCTGTATAAGGTTGGTAAAGAGCAAAATTATATAGAGTTGATTTACATAAAAATTAAAATTTTTTTTTTCTTTTTTGGCAGAAACCAGGAGTGTTCTACCATCAACCTATCCTCCCCAATCTACACAGTAGCCTATTTCTATTTATTTTTTTTAAGAAAATAAGAAATTATTTATTTTCTCTTTGAGCAAATAACCAATTTTTCACTTTTCCAACAATTACTTTGCTGTTACACTGAAATAATACTAAAATGCTAAATGGTCCACATAAGGTGATTGCACTGATTTTATTTGAAGTGAAGTTCAGGGTGTTTTGTAATATTTATAGAGAGCACATGCTAGAGAGCTGTTTTCAGATAGGATGAACTTGGTATTGCTGGGCATAGTCTTTTTTATTTTTTGAGACAGAGTCTTGCTAAGTTGAGACTGGCCTTAAACTTGCAGTCCTCCTTACTCAGCCTCCATGAGTTGTTGGGATTACAGGGCTGCACTACCACACCTAGCCAAAATTAAAAATTTATGTTAACTTATTCTAATATATCAAATTTAACATGCCATCCCTTAAGACACACCGCTATTTTATATACAATTAAGGAAAAAAAATTGATTATGAGATGCATCCCCATTTCCAGAGATTTTAAAGGGTAAAAAAATGCCTATAAGAATCTTTTTTTTTTAAATATTTATTTTTTAGTTTTTGGCAGGCACAACATCTTTGTCTGTATGTGGTGCTGAGGATCAAACCCAGGCTGCACGCATGCCAGGCGAGCACACTACTGCTTGAGCCACATCCCCAGCCCCTATAAGAATCTTTAAATCCGGGGGCTGGAGTTGTGGCTCAAGTGGTAGAGCACTTGCCTAGCATGTGTAAGGCACTGGGTTCGATCCTCAGCACCACATAAAAATAAAATAAAGATCTACCTAAAACTAAAAAATAAAAATAAATTAAAAAAAGAATCTTTAAATCCAGTAGCATATTTAAATCCAGTTTCATTTCTGTGGAAAAGGTAGATTTATTTTAGGAAGTATTTGAAATTTTATAGATTCTTATGTTTTAAAATTCTTGGCTTTTTGGAATAAGTCTTTAGATAGAAATTAGAAGGAAATTATAAGTCTTTAGATAGAAATTAGAAGGAAAAAAAACCCATAAGAAAACAAAAGTCCCTCAAATCTAATTTAAAAAAATATATAGTTATAGAGTGGTTATGAATATGAGTTCTTATTTCCATAGTGTGATTGTTGTTTACTTGTGAGATTTTTCTTTGGAAATATTAAAGTGCTTTATATTTATTGACTTAGCTCTGGTAGGTGGAAGCAATTATTAACATTGTGTTTTTAACCCCTGATTTTGATAGGGTTTTCACAGCATGGTATGATTGGTGTGACTCAGCCACGAAAAGTAGCTGCCATATCAGTTGCTCAGAGGGTTGCTGAAGAAATGAAATGCACTTTGGGATCCAAAGTAGGATACCAAGTTCGTTTTGATGATTGCAGCTCTAAGGTATAAAAGTTTTGTTGCTATTTGTTTAACTACTGTAAACTTATAGAACAAGAGTAAAATGTTCTAAAAGGTTCTTAACCTCAAAATTCCATATGTATTTTAAAGAAACAAAGCCTCAGATTAGAATTAATTTTTGGTTGTTCATTGTTAATGTTTTACCTCTGCAGTGTGGTATTTATCCCATTTTTTTCCCTGCTCAATTAATTTTTAAGTGACAGGTTTATTTTTGTTAGGATTCTCTTTCTCTCTCTTTTTTTTTTTTTGCCCTAAGTTTCTTTGACATGTTGGTTATATTTATATATTTTTTAAAAATTTTATTGTAGTAAAGTGTACATGACAAAATTTAATATTTCAACCACTTTCAGATACGATTCCGTGGTATTAAGTACTGTACAACCTGTTGTGTAACCATCACCACTATTTTCAGAACTTTTTTTTCCTCATCCCAAACAAGAACTCTGTTTCTGTTAAAGGATAAACTCCTCATTCCCACCCCACCCAGCGCCTGTAACCTATAGTCTACTCTCTAAATTTGCCTAACCTAGGTACCTCATATAAGTGGAATCACACAATATTTTGAACTTTGTGTCTTGATTATTTCACTTAGCATGTTTTAAAAGTTTATTCAGTGTTGTGTGTTTGTGTTTTTGAAGTCAATGGAAACTGACAAGTTAATTAACAAGGTCAGCAAGGTGTTTTTTTGTGTGTGGTGTTGGTGATTGAACCCAGTATCTCAAGCATGCTAGATAAGGCAAGTACTATACTATATACTACTAAGCCACCCCAGCTCTGGCAGTTAGTATTTATTAAGCATCTTCTATATGCATGCCACCAAGTTCAAAATTGTTTTCTTTTTAATAAACAGGTAGTTTAAATTCCTTCAGGATTTCTCAGTCCTATGTCAGATGTAAAACAATCCCTGATTTACATATGGTTTCTAGTAGAAGTGGCTATCAAATGGTTTTCTCCAGAATACTGTCTTTTCCTTTCTAGTGTTCATGCCTGTGGATTTTTCCTTCTTTTTCCTTCGATTATTTTATGAATGTCAATGCTGTTATCGCTAGCTTTTGGGCKGTATTCTTACCTCATTTTAATGCTAGTCAAGTGACACTATTTTTTTTCTTTTTAATAGAATGGGTAGGGGAGAGAAGAGAGTGAGTGGTATACACGTACCATTTCCTCTGCTTTTTCCCCTAAGTCCTCTAAGTAGTGGCTAAGAGAACAGATGAATCCAATTTCCTTGTTGTTTCCCACACCTTGCTTACCTGAAGCCATGGCATTTTCTTGTCACTTTCCATTGACTTCTTTGTATCTCTTTAAGGTTACTTGTATTACTTTATCCCAAAACACCCACCTTAGTTCCTTATCTTTATAGGCCACACAATTTCATAATTTACTGTCCTTGTTAGACTATTTTATATACACTTTTATTTAATCAGATTGGTTCAATCATTTAATGTCTGGACAGTTTGGTTAAAAATTCCATTGTAGAAGTAGTAGTGAATTTTGTGATGTTATAAGTTGATATACTTTGGTGTTTGAACATTAGGAAACAGCAATCAAATACATGACTGATGGATGTTTACTGAAACATATTTTGGGAGATCCAAATCTTACCAAGTTTAGTGTCATTATTTTGGATGAAGCCCATGAGAGAACTCTAACTACAGTGAGTATTTTAATATATTTTCAGTTTTGTTATTTTTTTTAAATTAGCATGTAGTTTACTTGTTTGGGTTTGCTCTTTACTGAATAGAAAATTGCCTTCTCTTATATTTTACTCTACTAAAATAGGAGTTCTTTGGTTGGGATAGTAATCTATTTAAAGTAGTTTGATTGGCAGATGCACTTGTGACTTACTAGACTTATTTTTCTTTTCAGGATATCTTATTTGGTTTATTGAAGAAGCTATTTCAGGAGAAGTCTCCTAATAGGAAGGAGCATTTAAAGGTGGTGGTAATGTCAGCAACAATGGAATTGGCCAAGCTCTCTGCATTCTTTGGAAATTGTCCAATATTTGATATACCTGGAAGGCTTTATCCAGTCAGAGAGAAATTCTGCAATTTGATTGGTCCACGAGATAGAGAAAATACTGCATATATTCAAGCGGTATTACTTGGTGTCATTTTTATGTCTTTTTTGTATCTGTGATTCTAGTTAATTGTGTAGTGTTGTAATTCATTTGTTCTCTACTATTTTAATGACAGCTCTCATGGGTCCTAGGATTTTTTTTTTTTTTTTTTTTTTTAGTTCTAATATGTTATACATGACAGTAGAAAGCTCTTCAATTCATTGTACAGAATGGAGCAGAATTTTTTGCTTTTCTGATTGTATATGAAGTAGAGTCACACCATTCATGCAATCATACATATATCTAGGGTAATGATGTTCATCTCATTCTACCATCTTTCCTAACCCTTTGCCCCTTCTCTCCTTCCCCTTTGCCCCATCCAAAGTTTCCCCACTCATCACACACACACACACACACACACACACACCTCATTACAGATTAGCATCCACTTATCAGAGAAAACATTTGGTCTCTGGTTTTGGGCTTGGCTTATTTCGCTTAGCATGATGTTCTCCAACTCCATCATTTTCCTGTAAATGCATAATTTTATTCTCTTTTAATGCTGGGTAATATTCCATTGTGTGTATATACCACAGATTTTTTATCCTTTCATCTGTTGAAGGGCATCTAGGTTGGTTCCTCAGTTTAGCAATTGTGAATTGTGCTGCTATAAACATTGAAGTGGCTATGTCATGGTAGTATGCAATTTTTAAGTCTTTTGGGTATAGACTGAGGAGTGGGATAGTTGGGTCAAATGGTGGTTCATTCCAAGTTTTCTAAGGAATCTCCATATTGCTTTCCAGATTGGTTGCACCAATTTGCAGTCCTACAGGCAATGTATGAATGTGCCTTTCCCCTACATCTTCGCCAACACTTATTGTTGCTTGTATTCTCGATAACTGCCGTTCTGACTGGAGTGAGATGAAATCTTAGAGTAGTTTTAATTTGCATTTCTCTAATTACTAGAGAAGTTGAACTTTTTTTTTCATATATTGATCAATTGTATATCTTCTAGGGTCCTAGGACTTTTGAGAACCAAATTTAACTTTTCTATGGAGCAAGGGGACAAGGTAGTAGGGGAATGACTGTATTTCTATTAGTATATTACAGTTGTATTTTTTTTCTTTAGATTGTGAAAGTGACCATGGATATCCATTTGAATGAAATGGCTGGAGACATCTTGGTTTTTCTGACTGGTAAGTGTCCCATACTGGGTTTAAAAATGTCTTCTACTTTTGGGTTCTTGTTTTTGCTGTTAAAAATGTCTACTTTTTGTGGGGTTTTGTTGTTGTTGTTTGTTGAGATAGGGTCTTTCTATATTGCCCAGGCTAGCCTTGAACTCCTGGGCTCAAGCAATCCTCCTGCCTCAGTCTCCTGAGTAGCTGGGACTATAAGCATATGCCCCTGTACCTTACAAAAGTCTGCTATTTGTAAGCAAATAATGTGGCACTAGATTAGAGTGTTACCTCTATTGGGATATCTGGGCTCTTAATGGCTGCCTTTTTATGATTATCGGAATAGTTTTAGATTAAAGATTCATAAAACGTCAGGTTCATTAGTAAATACATGTAAAACGCATTGACCCTTTAGTTAGAAATTAAGTAGGAAAGTATTACTTTTTGGTCTATTTTACATATAGCTATAACCTGACTAAATAGTTCTGGGACTAAATGATTAATTCTATTATTTCAAAAGCTATTACTCCTTTTCTCTTTGAGGGATGGAATAGTACTATGTGATAGTACATAAGATGGAGAATCTGGGTAGTATAGACTAGTCTGTGGCATTTTTTTGGTGGTCAAAAATAGAACAGTTAAGTTGGGCATAGTGGTGTATGCCTATAATCCTAGCAGTTTGGGAGGCTGAGGCAGGAGGATCACAAGTTCGGAGCCAACCTCAGCAACTTAGCAAGGCCCTAAGAAACTCAGTGAGACCCTGTCTCTAATACAGTATAAAAAAGGGCTGGGGATGTGGCTTAGTGGTTAAGCACCCCTGGGTTCAATCCCTGATACCAAAACCAACAACCACAACAAAAACCAATAGAACAGTTAAGTCTCAAGACTACTGTAACTTTTCAAGAAGCATCATTCTACCAACAGGAATGAGTCATTCCATTGCTCATTTTCTACACTGCCTCGTGTAATGTCAGAAGTGAGTCGTAACAATCTCTCTGTCTTTTGGAGACAAAAGTATTTTGAAATATTCCTGAGTTCAGTGTCTCTTGAACTAATTTCCCCAGTGTAACAATTTAGTTAGTCTTCCCCAAATTCTGTATTAACAAAATGAGAGAATTGAAGATGATAACATTTTTATTCCTTTAGAGATTTAAATCCCTTAGAGTGTATCTCCTTTTTGTATCTCTTTTAGATCAAATGAGAGATGAAAAAAAAAATCTTATTGGGCTGGGGATGTGGCTCAAGCGGTAGCACGCTCGCCTGGCATGCGTGCGGCCCGGGTTCGATCCTCAGCACCACATACCAACAAAGATGTTGTGTCCGCCGAGAACTAAAAAATAAATATTAAAAATTCTCTCTCTCTCTCTCTCTCTCTCTCCTTTCTCCTCTCTCACTCTCTCTTTAAAAAAAATTAATTTTGCTGTTTAGTTTTTGAAGTTATTCTTTCCTCCCATTTCAGGCCAATTTGAAATTGAAAAAAGTTGTGAGTTACTTTTTCAAATGGCGGAGTCTGTTGATTATGATTATGATGTTCAAGATACCACCCTAGATGGCTTGTTGATATTGCCGTGTTATGGATCTATGACAACAGGTAATTCCTCATTAGGATAGAAAATATGACTGATATTTTAAACACTTTTTGTTGAATTATTTGGAAAAGTATTCAAATCTTCAATGTGTGTGTCTGTGTGTGTGTATATACACACACACAGACACACACACATATATGTATGTATATATTTAGTTGTAAATGGAATAAGACTTTTATTTTTTATTTATTTATTTTTATGTGGTGCTGAGGATCGAAGCTAGTGCCTCACATGTGCTAGGCAAGTACTTTACCACTGAGCTACAACTCTAGCCCCCAAGTATTCAAATCAAATGTTTAGGTTAATAAGTTTCACAAACTGACCTCACTTTTGTAACTTAACACTCACAGCATGTAATAGAACATTAAGAGTCCATTGTCTCTTGAATGAAGTGATTTTTGCTTTAAGTTTTTTCACATTAACTTTTTTTTTTTTTTTCTTTTTGTTATTGGGGATTGAACCCAGGGGCACTTTACCACTGAGCCCAGTCCTTTTATTTTTTATTTTGAGAGAGGTCTCACTAAGTTGCTGAAGTCCTGTCTCACTCTTCTGAGTCCCTGGTATTTCAGGCATGTGCCCCCACATCCAGCTTACATTAACATTTTCAAGAGCCTTGGATATTTCCCTAAGTTTTTTTAAGAAATGGGTATGTCGGGGCTGGGATTGTGGCTCAGCGGTAGAGCGCTCGCCTAGCACAGGCGGGACCAGGGTTCAATCCTCCCCACCACATAAAAATAAAGGCATAGTGTTGTGTCCATCTACACCTAAAAAATAAATAAATAAACATTTAAAAAAGAGAGAGAGAGAGAATGAGTATGTCTTTGCACACCAGAACAAAATATTGGTGGGGATTCTTTGAAATGAATACTRTAGTTTCTTGATAGTAGTACCATTCTAGAAATCATTTATATACAAATATATATCACAAATATATAAATACAATTAATTGTTTTCCTTTTAAGTAGCCATATATTAGTTTGCTCTTCAAGAATGATCCTCTTTTTTTATGAATTCAAAGATCAAATGCAAACTTTTGTTTGCTGTTGGATCATAATAAATATTGTTGAATGAGAATTAGAATTTGTCTTGTAAAAGTTTTATTGTGGAATTTGAGTTGTAAAACTAAACAGAATTTAATCTTAACCTGTAAGAGTTTCATTGGTATTAGTATTTAAATGTTTTTAATATTTTATTCGTATTGTTGTTTTTGTCTAGTTGTTGAGTAGGTGACTCTTTATATTAAAGTTTTGCAAAGTATGTGTCAAGTTAAGAACCATAGATGCAGTATAGTTTTGAAAAATCTCGTTAGTGATATTAGGTTCTTCCTGTCAACATTGAAATGCAGGTCTCTATTTTAGATCTTTACATTTTCAAGGGAATTATTAGGGTCATTATTAGATACTTAAGATTTTAATGGTTTTCTGGAGATTGATCCACTGACTGTCATTGTTGACTTTGTAATTAATTCAAAGATCATAATGGTACTTTGTTATTAACTATGAATTAAATATACATATTGTTTTCTTCTATGTAAATAATTTCATTTTTCTTATTGCCACATTGAAAAATATTATGTATTGCCATTGCCTCTTTTTTTTTTTAACTTCCGGACATCTGATTTTTATATTGTTAGAGGTTTCAAATGGTCTCCTATTTCTCAAATCTAATGGCTCTTTTGTTTGTTTACAGTTTGATTTTGTGGTATGAGTGATAGTATCATTTATGAAATGTTGTCCCCTGGAATGATATTTAATTACCTGGTTCTTCTGACTATTCTTTATCTGAGACTGTAGCCAACTCCCTTCCATGACCCAGCTTTGTTCCTCTCCAAAATGTAGCTCTTTCTTAAGGTTGTATATTTAGCTTACTGTTTTCTTACCAGTCTGTTTTGGAGAGGTTGATTTATTGGATTCACCTGTCACTTCTATGGATGACACCTGAGAGCTGTCTCTAGTTCAGTCTCATTCCTGCACTCTAAATCTTCTAAGTCTCCTAAGTGAGCTTTCTGGTATGTGCATCATGTCATCCCAGATCATTCAACCCCAAGCAAGTGGCATCTCCAACAGGTGTTCTTTGTTTTGTCGAAATCATTTTTTTTTTTTCTTTTTTCACTTGTTGCTAGAGTATGCTTTCCTAAGTTGATTACATGGCCTGTTGACTCATTTTTCCTGGTTTAATTTACCATCCTACCTGCAGTGGTAAGTGTAATCTTCTAAAAGCATAACTCTGATTTTGTCAGTCCTCTGTTGGGTACTTGCATATTCCCTACTGTCAACTGAATTAAAATGCCAACTTAATAACCTGGCATTCATTATTTTCCACTGTATGTAATTTTCTGTGTTGGTATGTATGTATAAATGGTAAAGATATGTGACTAGGTGTGAGTAGAGCTATTATTGAAGGATTCTGTTTATTTTAGTTTCCCTTCTGAGGGTGAGCTACTCTTGATCCATTATGAGCATAATAATAATTATTATAGTAGTTTATAATGGTGCATAGAGGGATCCAGATGGCCCTGATAAGGTACTGAGAAATGGGTAAGGTAGAGTTGGGTAAAGTAGGGAGAGAGTGGTAAGTACTTGGGATCTTAAACTTTTTTAGTCTGATTAATGTAACATAGCACTTCTTTTCTTTACTCATGCTACTTTGGGTGATGGGGAGAGATACTTTCATAACATTATTTCCTTCATTTCTTATGGTTTTGGGACAGAAAACTTACACTTGGGCAGGAGGAGAGGGAAGAAGGATTTCTTGCCTGTTGCCTCTAGTGAAGGGGATCTAAGAATGAGCAATAGTTGGGTTTAGTGAATAGGTCAAAATTAAAGGTGGATACTTAATATTTACCGCCCCCCCTAGGCTAGCCATGAGAGTACCTGCCTGTTTTAAAGAGACATCTTAAAATATTTCTGTAGTCGATTTCCAAAATTTTCATCTGTCAAATATGGAGAAGTGCTATGGAACCCTTTCTGCCAAGATTATGTGAACCAGCTTCCTGGTCTGGACTACCCCAGCCCTGCCCTTTGTGGTGATGTTCTTTCAGCGTAGGAGATATTTTTAATTTCTTTTTCTTCCTCATCCTTTTCGTAATTCTGTGTTTGCTATTTCCTTAACCAGAACTCCTCCTTTGCATTTTATTCTCCTCTCACAGGCTGAAATCCTGCTATTTTGTTCCACTAGTGCAACCAACTCCATAAAAACCTTTCCTACTTTTCCTTCTCATAACTGGCTTTGATCTCTTCCTCATTTGAACCTCTTTGTGCTTTGCTGCACTTTTATGACACTTAACACAATCTACCTTGTGTTCGAGATGTGCTGTCTCCTCTATAAAACTGTGAACTTCTTGAGGGCAAGTACATGGGAGCATATGTTGAAAACATCCTGCTTAAATATTGGTTAAACAAAGTTCTAGTCTTTTTGTTTTCTGCTGACATCTCTTAATGTCTTACATCAAATGCTATTATTTGGAACCTTATTCTTATTTCTCTCACACCTCTTCCCTCTTCTCACTTCCTTGTCTTTATTCAAGTTATTGCAGGTTTTTTTTTTTCATCTTGTCATTCATGTAGGGAAAGCTGAGCTGCACAAAAATATATGAACTGAAATATATTAAAAACTTAAGTTGTCTTATAAATGACAAATATTTTCGTGTAGCTACATAATTTTAGCACTAAAAGTAACTGTCTAATTTTGTACTTCTTACCCTTTCTTAAAGAGTTGGGTGTGAGGTATCTCAGATTCCTTTAAAAAGGTTGTGAAAATCACAGCTAAACCCCTAGAAAAATACACATATACCCACATATGTTTTTGCATAATCACACTTCTTTATTTTACAGATAGAGACTAAGTGATGTTCCTGGGATCACGTGGTAAATCTGCATTTGATAAGTGGTTGTTTATTTAGTAGAGGGTGATATGCTGTACTTATATTTCCAGAATATATGAAGAAAAGGACAGGAGAAATATGTGGGATAAAAAGGATTAGGAAAGTTTTGTTTTGTCTTATAAAGAAATATATAATTCATAATTATTTTTATGAAATTAACAAAGTAAGGAAAATAACTAAAATCATCCAGATCCCACCAACATAATTGATTATGACTATTAACATTTTCGAGTTCATTGCCCTGAGCTTTTTCATTACATATTTAAATATTTTTATTGTTTAGTTTCATATTTTTAACAAACACACGGGATTATGCTTTGTTTTTTTTTTAAGCTGGAGATGGACACAATACCTTTATTTATTTACTTATTTTATTTGTGCCAAGGATCGAACCTAGCACCTCACACATGCTAGGCAAGCGCTCTACTGCTGAACGACAGCCCCAGCCTTGGGATTATGTTTAATGTGCTATTTTGTTTTATCTTTGCAGAAATTTAAAATGTAGAACAGTGCCAAAAATTCATTTCCCACTCTGTAGAATTAACACCCTATTAGTATCAGCATATTTACTCCAATTTTCTTCAAGAAAATTAATTGAGGAAAAAGTGGTACAATTTCATTACAAACAATTAAAGGAGTATACAGAATCATAAAGATAAAAGTAAAGAAATTGCTTTTATCAGAGGTTGATGGCCAGCGTCTCACTGGGGGGTTCTTTCTGCCCTGGGGAATCTAAGTCACCCTAATGCTTAAAATCTCAAATAATTAGTGACTAACAAAACACAAATACTCAGAAATATATTTACAATAGGTGAATAGATCGAGTCCACATGGGTTCTAGAACTAGACAAAGAAAAGATGGTTTATTTAAGGGGGTATTTCAAAGGCAGAGATAAGGTTTCAAGGGTGGAATCTTGCTTCCTGATGTCTTACAGTCAGAGGTTAATTGACATCTTGGCAGGTCACACCTACCTCAAGTGCTGTGTGGCCACAGCAGAGCATGATAGAGATTCACATTGTCCCTGGGCAGTTGACCAGAGAAAATGTCCACTGGTCATTCCCAGACACCAGATGTCTCTGTCCACTATGCTTCCATGTGCGGTGACCCACATGCAACCCATGGATGGTTCCTGACATGCCTCATATTATTCCATCCAGGAATAACTAATGTAGGAAAAACATTGTTTAGGCAGGTGTGTGTGTGTGTGTGTGTGTGTGTGTATAAATTGGCAGATAAATTGATAGAAATATCTTTTAAGTGAGATCATAGTACTGGTTGCTTTTTAAAAAGGTGTTTACTTTTACTTGAATTTACTTACAGTAGACTTCAAGTAAATCTTTACCATATGAGCATATTTTATAAAGATTGTTTTGATTAAAAATATTAAGAAGTTGAAGTTACTATCTTCTTTATAAAATATATTTGATTGTAGATCTTACCTGTTGACTTCCTAATTTGAAAGATGAGGTCATAATCATTTTGACTCTTCCATATCTTCCCCTTCTGACTTTTTTAGTGAGTTTTATATTTTCAAATGTATTTAGTGTTCACTAACAGTCTTCACTTACTATTTTTGTTAATTTTAGGTTGGCTAGATTTTGTTATGTATATATTTTTTAAACAGAGGGCTCTTTTACTTTTTGTTTATTTTAATTTCTTTTATGTTTGAAACTGTTTGGCTTTTGCCTTTATACTTAAAACTACATCTTGGCTGGGTTTTATGTTCTTGGGTCACACTTTCTTTTCCTTAGAACTTGATAGACGTTGTCCAGTTGTCTTCTGGCATTGAATGTTGCTGCGGAGAAGTCTGAGGCCAGCCTGATTTTTTTTCCCCTCCTTGTAAGTGATTTGTTTTTTCTGTCTGATTGCCTAAAACTTTCTGTTTTTATCTTCAAAGTTCAGTAGTTTTAATTAGGATTTTTTTTTTCTGTGAGTGTTATATATTAAAGTATCCTAGAATTTTTAAAAACTAACTTTATTGAGCTGTAATTTACATACAGTAAAATGATTGTTTTAAGTATACAGTTCATTAATTTTTGGCAATGTATATATACTTGTGTAAGTATCAACCACCGCAAACATGATGAACAACAGTTCCACTTGGCTTTTTTGATATGCAGATTCAAATCTTTGTTTCAAGGAAATTCTCCTGTGTTTTATCTTTGAATGTAGCTTATATCTCCATTTGTTGATTTTCCTATTTCAAGGACACCAATTATTCTTATATTGGATTGTCTCTCTTTCCTATTTTTTAGTTTCCTTCTGTCTTTTTCAGGTTACTTGTGTCAAGCCTTTCTCTGTGTTACAAGCTTGATTTTCAGTGCTGTTAGAATCCTCAAGGGATTTTTGACTCATCCACATGACTTTTTGCGGTAGGGCAGAGTTTGAGCCAAGCAGTGTTGTATCTCTGTGTTCTGCAACAGAATCATCTTTTTTTTTCCCTTTTTGATTGAAAATTTTTGTTTACTGCATTATATTCCATTTATTCACATATACACATACAACTAAATAAATATGTTTCTGCTTTGGGCTCTTTTTAGAGGGTTTCTGGGACAAGAAATTCAATAAAGACAGTTCAGTTGCCCTTAGTATAAGTCATCTACATCTTTCTTAGGAACATTACTTCATGAAGTGTGTTGAATGGTCTTTCCTTAATACCTTAATTTCTTGGTAGACTTTGAAATGTCTTTCTGCCTCTGTGCCAGTTTTTTTCCCTCCTTACTAATAACATCCTGGTACCTTATCAAGTATTGGGATAGGTGGGGTAAAGTGTGTCAGAATCTTTCATAGGAAAATCAGGAAATGGAAGTAATCAGAGAATTGCTGTATCTTAATGAAAATAATCAGTTTCCTCTCTCCTTCCTGAGAACTCATGTTAGAAATATATGTAACATTTTCCAATCCTTTATAAACAAAGAAAAACTGGTATGTGTTTGTAACTGGAATATGGTAGTAAAGTGTACAAATGAAATGTAAAATARTAAACAAATGTTAAGTTTTATCAAACAGCATTTTCAGAATTTTAATTGATTATGTTGAATAAAATGGTAAATGAATCAGGAATTTTGCTTGAATCAAGATTATAACAAATTCGGGACTTTTTTTTAAAGAAATAGGCTGATCATGCCAGGTGTGGTGGCATATACCTATAACCTCAGCCACTCAGGAGACTGAGGCAGGAGGATCACAAGTTTGAAGCCAGCTTCAGCAACTTAATGAGGTCCTAAGTAACTTAGTGAGACCCTTTCTCAAAAAAAAAAAAAAAAAAAAAAATATATATATATATATATATATATAGTGGTGGGGGCTGTGCAGGCAGGGCAAAAAGGGGACAGGCTGGTGTTTTCATTGGTCCTGTCTCTGAGTTTAATCCCAGTTTWAAAAAAAAAAAAAGTTGGTTGGAAAAACTTGATTATGGATAAATGTGTTTAGAAAGGACATTTATAATTTATGTAAAATTTTAGTACAAGGTGGAATTTTAAAGGTAGAATAATCTTAGTATTTTATTTATGAAATGTATTTTCAGTCTGTCAGTTCATTTAACAACTATTTATTCATTACTTAATATAAAGCCAGGCATTGATCAAGGGACAGAGGCTACACCTTACACAAAAGAAAGTCCTCTCATGTAACTATAGTGTTGTAAATAAATAATGAATGTATAAATATATAATTTGAACTACAAAAAGGTGTGTTATCTGAACCATTTTAGAAGAAATAAGCTACCTAAATATAAGAAATATGTAATCATTTTAACACTTAGTCTTTTTACCAGATTATCCAAATCTGAAATAGGTTTTGAGGGGGTTTATGTTTGGATTTATATAAAACTATGGCCTTTTTTTTTTTTTTTTTTTTGAGACAGGGTCTCATTATGTTACCCAGACTGACCTTGAATTCTTGGGCTCAAAAGAACCTCTGAATAACTAGAACTATAGACATGCACTAACATATGTTTTAAAATGTCACCTTTCTAGTACTTTTTTATTTGAGAAATTAATTTTGGAATGATAAGGAGGAGTAGAAATATGTGACTTGTTTTAAATTTGTCTTTGTATACAAATCTTGGGCCAGCCACTTGGCGGCCTCTATAGGCTTTAATTATCTCATTATAAAATTGGTGGTTAGCCTAGTTTCATGCTTTCATTTATTTTATTTTTATTTATTTTTTTTTAGTTTTAGATGGACAGCATGCCTTTATTTTATTTGCTTATTTTTGTATGCAGTGGTAAAGATTGAATCCAGTGCCTCACCCATGCTAGAGAAGCACTCTGCCACTGAGCCCCAGCCCCAGCCCCAGCCCAAGTTGCATAATTTTTAAACCATGCTCATATGTGCTGTTCCTTTTCTTCCTTGTAATAGTTCGTCTTTGATCAGTTGTATCTACTGTGAATACGTGATCTTAGTAAGATTTTATTTGGAAATAGTGTTTTACTTCATTTTTTTGAGATTTTCTTGACTATTAATTTTCTGGAAATCAAATGTTAAGCATTTAAAAAGCATTCTTTATAAAATATATGCATATACTACTATACTAATATGTATAATGGTAAGAACAAATAAAGGTTTAAAAGGATCCTGTGCAAAATACAAATGCTAAGAATTTCTTTTCATATCCCAATAGTTTTGCTTGTGTTCTTGAAACAATAACTCCTGATATGTGGCTATCATTGATGTAGATGAGTTTGACAAATACATGGTATAAATTAGTATTTTCTGTTTACATCTATTTTAGATCAACAGAGGAGAATATTTTTACCACCTCCACCTGGAATTAGAAAATGTGTCATTTCCACCAATATTTCTGCAACATCTTTAACAATAGATGGAATCAGGTACAACTTTTTAAAGTTTTCTTAAAGAAAGCCATAACTAATCACAAAGCATTACTGTGTTTTCTTCCCTGTTTTCTCTGCTAATTCCCTTCTTACCTATTTTCTAATGCTCTTCACTTGTATTCACCTTTTGTTTTGGGGATTATTGATTGTTTTGAACAGGAAATGAAGTAAGAGGTGCATACTATATCTTTTTCTAAAAACTGGGCAACTTTGAAGCTTTCTCTCCCCAAATTTAAGATTATCTGGGGTTCATGGGTTCTGGCTCACCCTATTTTTCTGTATTGTCATTACTAGCATATATCTTAGATGATGTGATATTCCCTCTACCTTTCAGCTTCACTTGGTAGAGTAACTTTGTTCATCTAAGGTTTAACTGGAGGTATTGTCTCTCATTTATTACTTTCTTGTGAAATTGAACTACTATGCAGGTTCCTTGTTGTTTTTGGATGTAATCAATAATGCCTCAAATTTTTTAGTGTAGTTAGCAGAGGTTTAAAGGCTGGACTGATAGCTGATGTTCAATTCTTTCAGACTATTGAACCATATTTCTTTTGGGTATTCATATTTTAGCTAAGTCTGAGTGCCACAGGAAGGTTGGCCTAGAATCCCAAGGATCCTATATATTTCTTCTGGATAAAATGATCACCCAGATTTGAGAAGGAAGTCTAATTTCCTTTGCTTTTCTCCTTCACTTTAAATTTTTTTTTCATTAAGGAGTTAGGGGAACAGATCTCTAGAGTATATTGACCTCTATAATTTTCTGTTTCCAGCACAGGCAAAAGCCATTAAATGGCATGTTTTAGAATGTTGCCTTAGTGAGTGATAGACTTACTACTGTTCTTAGTTCTTTACCTGAATTGTTCTCTATTTAATGGGCTTAAAAATTTATTTGGGATTTTGAACCTACTAGAATTGCCTAGGGCTGACTTTCAAGTTTATATAATTTTATTGAGGCAAATTAAATTAATTTAAAAGTGAACAATTAAGTGGTATTTAGTATATTTCCAGTATTGTATAACCACTACCTCTGTCTGGTTTCAAAAAATTTTATTACCCCCCAAATAAAACTCCATATGCATTAAGCAGGTATTTCATATTCCTTTTGCTACCCCAGCCCCTAGCAACCACCAGTCTACTTTTTGTTTTTATTTCCCGTTCTGAATTTTTCATACAAATGGAATTATACCTTTTATGTCTGGTTTCTTTAACTTAGCATAGTGTTTTGGAGCTTCATCCATATTGTAACATGTATCACTATTTCCTTTCTTTTGATGATCAAATGATGTTTAATTGTGTATATGCCCCAATTTCTTTATTCATTCATCTTTTAGTCATTAGGTGGTTTTTACCTTTTGACTATCGTTAATAGTGCTGGTATTGAATATTTACCTATAAATATTTCAGTACTTATTTCAGTTCTTTTGGGTATATTCTTAGGAATAGAATTGCTGGGTCACACAATAATCCTGTTTTAACTTTTTGAAGAACCGCCAAACCGTTTTTCACATTGGCAGAATCATTTACATTCCTACCAGCAGTGTATGAGAGTTCCAATTTCTTGACTTTAGTTTTATACTTAACATTAAAAGTAGTGTGTAGTAGTAAATTTGGTAAAAAAGAAGAAAACAAAGTGGTTAAAAATGACAGGTCGTCCTGACTTTCCAGAAACTTGATTTGCTTTCATTCTCCTCAGATATGTGGTTGATGGTGGCTTTGTGAAGCAGTTAAATCACAACCCCAGATTAGGGTTGGACATCCTGGAGGTGGTTCCAATTTCAAAGTAAGTACAAAGTAATATCCTTTTTGTTTCCATAATAGTTGATAATATAATTTCTAGTTGGTTGGGGATAAGGAAGTAAATGACGTGGGAAACCCACAAAAGATTGGGGACTTTCTTTTTTTTCTTTCCATTTGTAGGAGTGAGGCATTACAGCGAAGCGGCCGAGCTGGCAGGACTTCCTCAGGAAAATGCTTTCGGATCTATAGTAAAGATTTTTGGAACCAGTGTATGCCTGACCATGTGATCCCTGAGATTAAGAGAACTAGTTTGACATCTGTAGTTCTGACCTTAAAGTGCCTTGCCATACATGATGTCATAAGGTATGTAGGCATCTTGCAAAAAAGAGAAATTTGTTAGGGTGAAGCCAGGTTATTCCTCAATTATTGTTTTTCAGTATTTGACATCCCTGAGAATTGAAGGTTAGCTATTTGCAAGATTGGTTTTCACATTGGTTGTTTTTTAGCTAAACCCAAAAGTGTTAATTCATTTAACATTAATTTCACTATTTTAACCATTTTAAAGTGTACAGTTTAACTTGGTTGTAGTAGATTCACAATATTTTGAAACCATTGGCACAAGTGGTGAATACTCTTATCACCTTAAAAACTATTGACATATAAGGTTATACGAACCCAGAAGTAAATGGTGTTAATACTACTACTTAGCTTCAAAATTTGTGAAATTTTAATATTTCTGATTTAAGCTATAGTAGATGCTTGTGTTGCTTTATTGGAATATGTGTGCTTGCTCATGTTTTAACCTTAATAGGGAATTTTTGTGCTGATGTTTATTATTTAGTTCATTTAGTGATTACCACTGTTCATTTGTGGTGAAAGGCATGTAATGTCTCTAATTCTAGTCATAAAGGTTTTGTTGTGGTGGTTGTGTTTGTTTGTTTGTTTGTTTCTGAGGATTGACCCAGTGGCACTTTACTACTGAGCTATATCCCCAGCCTTTTTGTGTGTGTGCGTGGTTCTGGGGATTGAATCCAGGGCTTTGTTGTGAGGCAAGAACTCTACCAACTGAGCTATATCCCCAGCCCTTTTTAATTTTTATTTGAGACAGGTTCTCACTTAGTTGCTGGGGCTGGCCTTGAACTTGTGCTCCTACTCCAGCCTCTTGAGTTACTGGGATTGCAGGTGTAAGCCACTGCACTGGCCAGAAAATGTTTTTTGTAACTTCTTCATTGTATTATATATCACAAAAGACAAAGTAATAATACTCTAGTATGGTTTTTTGTTTACACTAACGTTATGTTGGGCAAACAAAGTTCAGACATGTGAAGTAAAGGATACAACAACTGTCAAATTAGTCAAATGTTTAGCTATGTGATATATTAGAATAGGATAGAATATTGTAGAGGCTTGATACTTCATATGATAGAGGAAATAATGGAGGAAAATTGTATCTTGTTCTTCGTTTTATTCTCAATTATCTGAGAATGGAAGTGTCAGGAATCTTGAGAGAAGATGACCATACATTCTTTAAATTTATAATAAGGAGAGTGATTACTAGTGCATCCAACTGTGTATTGTATACGTTTAGGAAGCCATCTTAAAAATATTTCAGTTAGAAATTTTCTAAATGAGAATGTAATTCCTAGAAAGAGGAAACCATGTAATAAATAAAATTTAACTAATCAAATAATACCAATGAGAAAGAAGGAAAGAATCATGAAGAAATCCAAATGATCCAATCAAAAGCTTTTAGGTGAGGCCAGATTTAAGAATAATGTCTTGATGTTTTTTTTTTAATTTAGGAAGAAGGGCAGATTCTGGATACAGCAGTCTATTTAGCTTGACATTGATTTTTAGCATATTCACAAAGGATAGCAGAGCAGCATATAACAAATAATACTATGTAAGAAAAATAGGAATTAAATAATTAGGATTAATCAATTTGGGGGTGTGGGGAGGTACTGGGGACTGAACTCAGGGGCACGTGGCAACTGAGCCACATCCCCAGCCCTATTTTGTATTTTATTTAGAGAGAGTTTCACTTGCTTAGCACCTCGATTTTGCTTAGTCTAGCTTTGAACTTGCAATCCTTCTGCCTCAGCCTCCCAAGCCACTGGGATTACAGGTGTGCGCCACTGCACCTGGCTAGGATTAATCAATTTTAATTACTTAATATCATCTGCACTGAGTTATTTTTCCACTTGTCTTAAAAACTGGATTCTTCTATACTATAGTATATTTTTATACTAATAAGAAATGTTAGAGGTGAAAATAAAAGACTTTCCTCCTCCCTCTTTTTGTTTCTTGTTTCCTTTTCTTTCTTTCTTTCTTTCTTTTTTTTTTTTTTTTTTGAGACAAGGTCTTGTTACCTGCAGGCTGTGATTGAATTCCTGCCTTAGTCTTCTGAGTACCTGGGATTAAGGTGTGTGCCACTGCACCCAGCTTCCACTTTATAAAACTTCAGTTAAAAAAAAAATGTATGGACTACAGAAGAGAATAGACTTGCTATTGGTTATGAAGAATGAGGCAGGATTGAGATGTAGAGAGGATGATGTGAGTGTTCCAGCCAAAGGGGATCAAAGGGAAGTACATTGTGAATGAGAAGAATGTGATTCAGAAAAAATTATTTCCTCTTTTGCTGAATGCTGACCATGGTTATAGAATTTTTTTTTTAAATGAAAGGAAGATTTGAAAAATAGAAGTAAAACCTTTCCATCAAGTCTGTATAAAATCCTACCATATTCAGGGAATGGTCTCCCATTTCATATCTCATTTAAACATACAGGTTTCCCTATTTGGATCCGCCTAATGAGAGACTCATTTTGGAAGCTCTTAAGCAACTTTACCAGTGTGATGCTATTGACAGGTAACAAAAAAAAAAAAAAAAAAAAAGAAAGAAAGAAAGTCAAAAGAACTGGTGTTGAGCCGTTTAAAAAAGGTTCTAGATATCTTTATCAGTAGGAAATTGTTTCATTTGAATAGATTGTTTTACTTGAAATCAGAATTTGTCCTCAATTTGTCTTTATTGCAGTTCTTTTTTTAAATATATTTTTTAGTTGTGAATGAACCTTTATTTTACTTATTGCTATGCGGTGCTGAGAATCTAACCCAGTGCCTCACACATGCTAGGCACGTGCTCTACCACTGAGCCACAACCCCAGCCCCTCTTTATTGTAATTCTGATTGAAACACTGTGGTATAAAGTAGTTTTATTTAATATTGTTACTATTTAATAAGTAATTTCTGAGTTTCATTTCAGTGCTAAATATTATGAGTTCATTAAAATGATAAGAAAGCCAAGTCTTTGTTCTCATGATTGTGTACTAGAGGAAGGTTTGATAATTATCACTCTCAGTCTTTCAAGGATATTCTCTGTGTGTATTTGTATCTATTATACTACTGTCTTCTGCCTTGTTGTTTAGTTTTTTTGGGATGTATTAAGACTTTTGACAGCAGAGAATTTATATCTTTTTGTTCTTCTTATCAATGACCACAGTGTTTTATTTCCTTGAATTGAACTTCTGGGGGTAATTTTTTTTTTTTTCCTGGGGGTAATTTAATGTAATCTAAATTATGTCTGATTTATCCTGAATGGTGAACATTGCATTTGTTTTCTCCCAAGGTAGAAAGACCTAATAACATTTTCTTTCTATTAAGGAGTGGCCATGTGACCAGATTGGGTTTGTCTATGGTGGAATTTCCTCTCCCTCCACATCTGACTTGTGCAGTAATCAAGGCTGCTTCTCTAGATTGTGAAGATCTACTGCTTCCAATAGCAGCAATGTTGTCTGTGGAAAATGTCTTCATTAGACCTGGTAAGAAGTATATTGATAAGTTTTTTTTAAAAAAATTTTAATCAATAGACTTTAATGTGTAGTTTGAAGTTTATAGAAAATTGAGCAAAAAGTACACAAGGATAACATTAATCTTGCAAGCTTTCACAGGCACACATCCCCTATTATTAGCATCTTTTGTTTGAGTAGTACATTTGTTTTAATTGATAAGCCAATATTGATACATTATTATCATCTAAAGTGATCACTTATTATGTTATATCTTCTGTAGGTTTTGACAGATATATAACAACATGTATCCACCATTCAGTATCATGAAGAAACATTTTACTGCCTTAAACATGCTCCACTAATTCGTATCTACATCCCTTCCCACAATCTCCTGGCAATTACTGCTCTTTTATTATTTAGTTTTGTTTTAATTTGTTCTCATCAGTTATACGTGTATTGATCTCTTTATTGTCCCTATAATTTTGCCTTTTCCAAAGTGTCATTTATTTAGAATCATATAGCATGTAACCTTTACAGGTTGCCTTTTCTCACYTAGTAATATGCACTCAAGATTGTCCATGTCTTTTTGTATCTAGCTAGCTTCATTTTTATCACCAAATATGGAATTCTATTATATGGGGAATGTGTTTATCCATTTACCTATTAAGGGCATTTTTGTTGCTTTTTCATCCTTGGGCTATTATTAATGAAGCTGTAATAAATATGCAGGGGTTTTTGTAGACAGCTTTTCAACTCCTTGTTGAATCATATGGTAGTAGTATGTTTAGATTTGTTTAAAAAACTACCAAGTGTGGGGGCTGGGGATGTGGCTCAAGAGGTAGCATGCTCGCCTGGCATGCATGCGGCCCGGGTTCGATCCTCAGCACCATATACAAACAAAGATGTCGTGTCCGCCGAAAACTAAAAAATAAATATTAAAAAATTAAAACAACAACAACAACAAAAAACTACCAACTGGGTGTGGTGGTGCACACCTGAAATCCCAGCAGCTTGGGAGGTTGAGGCAGGAGGATTGTGAGTTCAAAGCCGGCCTTAGCAATTTAGTGAGGTCCTAAAGCAACTTAGCAAGACTCTATCTCTAAATAAAATATAAAGAAGGGCTTGGGATGTAGCTCAGTATTAAGCTCCTTTGGGTTCAATCCCTGTATCAAAAAAAAAAAAAAAAAAAGGAAAAAAAAAAAAAGAAACTACCTGTCTATACCATTTTGCATTCCCACCAACAGTCAGTCTGAGAGTTCCTGTTCCTTCATATCTTTGCCAGTATTTGCTGTTGTTAGTATCTTGGATTTTGGCTATTCTGATAGGTTTGTGATGGTACTTCATTTTTGTTTGAATTTGTAATTCTCTGATGATGTAAGATAATAAGCATCTTTTCATATGCTTATTTGCTGTATAGCTTCTTTGGTGAGTTATCTGTTTAGCTCTTTTTAAATGGGTTTTTTTTCATATTCATGAGTTTTAAGAGTTCTTTGCATATTTTGAACAACAGTTCTTTATCACATATATCTTTTGTAAATATTTTGTCCCCATTGATGATTTTTCTTTTCATTATCTTGACATTGCTTTTTGGAAAGAGAAATTTTTAATTTTAATGCAGCCCAGTTGACTAGTTATTTCTTTCATGGATCTTGCCTTTGGTATTGTATCTAAAAGGTTATTGTCTTACCCAAGATCATCTAGATATTCTCTTATGTTTTGTTGCAGGAGTGAAATTACCTGTTGTTCTAGCACCATTTGTTCAAAATACTGTCCTTTCTTTATTGAAATGCCTTTGTTCCTTTGCCAAAGTTGACTGTGTTTGTCTAGGTCTTTGGGCTCTGTATTCTGTTCCATTAATCTATTTGTCTTTTCTTCCACCGAGACCACACAGCCTTGATTTTTAGAATTTCAGAGTCTAACTTTTGAAGTTGAGTAGGGTCAACTCTCCAACTCTGTCCTTAACTTTCAACATTGTTCTGGATATCCTGGATCTTTTCCCTTTCCATATAAACTTTAGAACCAGTTTGTTGAAATCCACAAAATAATTTGCTGGCATTGTGTTGAACCTAAAAGATCATTGGGAAGAATTAATATCTTGACAGTATTGAGTTTTCCTATCCATATACATGGAGTATCTTTTCATTCATTTAGGTCTCTAGTAATTCATTGAGCATTGGTTAAAGATTTATCTTATGCCTAGCTCTTAGACAGGAAGCTAATAATTTTTATATTGTTATCCTTTAACTTAGTTGTTTGGCATAGGTTATATACAGTGTTCCTGGCTGAAAGTTAATTTCCTTTCATTGGTACAGGAAGATACAGTGAACCTTTGCCCTTTTTATGGTACATTAGTAATAAAGTTTTCTCTCCCTCTTTATTTATTTTTTAGTTGTTGATGAATGTTTATTTTATTTATATGTGGTGCTGAGAATTGAACCCAGTGCCTCACACATGCTAGGCTGAGAACTGAATCCAGTGTCTCACACATGCTGGGCAAGTGTTCTACTGCTGTGCCACAACCCCAGCCCCTCTTTTTTTAAAAAAAAAAAAATTGTAGTTGTAGATGGACAGCATGCCTTTGTTTATTTTTATGCGGTGCTAAGGATTGAACCCAGTCCCCCACACATGTTAGGCAAAGCACTTTGCCACTATCTCACTCTGTTTTTAAGAATCAAAAGAATAGGTAGTTCAGTTCTTATGTTCTTAGAATATTGTATTGAAATGTCCATGTCTTTAAACTTTTGTTTTCTTCTTTTCTTGGTGTGTCCAAATGGGATACAACTTAATATGACACATGGTCAACTTTTCATCTGTGGAGTAATTTTTTCCTAAGCAGTTTCTGAGTAGACATTCTACCTTGTGTGTAGCCAACACAATAAAGTGTGCTATTTCATTGGCCTTTTCTCTTTATAGGTTGAGAGTGTTGGATCCAGACTGGTTTATCATGGCCATGATTATAATGGTTTGTCCAACAAATAAAAATCCCCCTCTACTCAGTATGCTGCCCACTACAAACAGATTACAAGTCATATAAGAATTGCAGGATTTTTGGAACAATAAAAATAAGATTAACACAGCCCCTGCGTAAGGATGACACGTAAATTTATGAAGTGTTTCATATTTTCAGCCCCAGGGCTACATTTTTATTCTGCTGAATGGAATTTGTCCTCACATATTGGTATACTGAATTTCTTACCAAGAGCCTGATTAAATAATTAATGCATTTTACAAAAAGAAAGAATTGCAGAATTTTGATACTAGTAACATACCAATTAAAATTGTTTTTTTTTTTTTTTTTTTTTACTAAAACACTGCATACAATAAATAATGTTGACTGGTTTTTCTTTCATTCAGTAGTATGAAAGCTAAACATACTCTAAAAACTACTGCAGAGTATTGGAGTCAGGAGTCCATCCTTCTCTCCAGCTCTACTGCTGTCTAATTATCTGACTATTGACTTAGCTTTTCTGGATTGCACATTTTCATTTGTAAATCCAGAGTTAGATGCAGGACATCCAACGCTGTTAATTTAGGCTGGATAAACAAGATTTTTTTTCCTTGTTGGAAAATTTAAATAGATAAAATTAGCCTGCTGTTAGTTTCTCTCTTTTTTAATCTCAAATGTTGCCCAGGCTGGTCTTAAACTCCAGGGCTTAAGTGGTCCTCCTGCCTTATCCTCTTGAGTAGCTGGGATAGTTTCTCTTTTTTTGGTAACATTTTATTGTAATATAATTTCAAATTTGAACAGAAACATTTCAAGAATGGTTATATTTATTTTATACCTTCTATATAGTTTCAGTAATTTTTAACATTTTGTCCCTTAGCTTTGTTATCTTCTGTATATACATATGTATATATATGCGTGTGTATGTATATATGTGCATTTTTCATTTTTTCTAAATAATTTAAGAATAAATTATAAACCTTGTGCTCCCTTAATGCAAAATATTACTTGTATATTTAATAAGAACAAGGGTAATCTCTGAGTATAGTACATTTGCCAAAATTAGGAAACTTAAAATTGATACAATACTATTATCTAATCCAGAGTCCATATTCAAACTATTCATTTTCCCTAGAATATACAAAAAGTTTCAGATTTGCTTAGTTATATCACTGTAGAGGCACCTCTGTATAAAACTGGATTTTACATTTATTGTTTACCTTAGAAAAGGTAAAATTTACATATAGTAAAATGCATAAATCTTAGATAAATAATTCAGTGAATTTTGTGAAATGGATGCTGCACCTTTATAATCCATACCTCTGTCAAGATATAGAACATTTATATCACTCCAGAAAGTTCCATTGATGTTACTTTGCAGTCATATTTCACCCCATCTCTCCCAGTCAGCTTCTTTTCAGGTTAGTTTCGCTGCCTCTGAAACTTTTCATAAATAGATTATATTTGAATTGTTTCTTGCTTGTAGCTATTTATAGGTAAAGCTGTTTTGAACATTCTTGGAGTCTTCTGTAGAGATATTTTTATTTCTCTTAGGTAAAGTAAATACTTTGGAAACAAATTGCTCTGCTATTGAATAGATATATGTTTAAGATATTGCTATGCCTTTCCCCAAAGTAGTTACACCATTTTAAATATGACCAGCAGTGTTTGAGTGTGCAGTTTGCACTACATATCTTCCTCAACATTTGTTATTGTCAGTCATTTTCATTTTATGCATTCTATATTTCTTTGTGGTATTTACTTACATTTTCTGAGGACTAATGATGTTGAGCACTTTTTCATGTGTTAATTGGCCATTTTTGTGTCTGTGTTTGTGAAGTGTCGAAATATTTTGCCATGATTTACACCCTTGCCCTTTTTTTCTTTTTCTTCCTTTTCTTTTTTCCTTTCCTTTTTTTTTTTTTTTTTTTTTTTTTTGTGGTGCTAGCTATTGAACCTAGGGCATTGTCATGCTAGGCAAGACTTAAGCACTGAGCTACATACCCAACTCTTTTTATTTTTTATTTTGAGATAACATCTTGCTAAGTTGCTTAGGACCTCAGTAAGTTGCTGAGGCTGGCCTCAA